ACACCTGCCTACCGCGCCTCAGTATATTGCGGCGCGGCAAAGTCCCAGAATTATCGCCAAAATTTTCAATCAATTACTATCCGAAAGAACAAAAATGAAAAACCCTATAACTTTTTGGATCGTCTCCCTAATTGAAATCTTGATAGAACATATTCCCAAATAAATTATTGTAGATGGATGGAAACAATATATGAAATTGTAGGTCTACCGTTTGACTAATTGCCTAAGTCTCACTAAAAGAGCGTGAGCAAGCTATAGTCAAATGAATCAAAAGTCAGATGGAGAAGAAAATTGTTCGAAAATGTTCATAAATTATCATGAATTCAAAAACTGCATAACCTCAACCCAATAACTAACCTCCTTGGATCCGTATAACCACCACGTTGACACGGTAACTTCCTTGGGCACACATTGCTACAATAAATCTTGTTCATCAAACGGATATCGTTAAACGAGAGTTGATCCCGTTGTCCTGAAACATTCAGAAAAGGGGTCAACAGCGCGTAAATCTCGAGAAATGAGAGTCGAAAACTGTAAAAGGCATCGGTTATATTTACAACAGAGTCATTTCCTCGCTCAGATTGAGCAGGGATGAGCATTATCGATTGCTTTTCTCGCAAAAGTAAAGTTTAACTTAAAATTAAAGGAATTTGAACGGCCTAGGACGTTGTTTTCAAGAATTTACTTGATTATTGTAACAGCTTAAAAAAGGCAGAAACAACAAAAGAGTGGAGGAAAAGCAAGTGAAAAAACACTCACCTATAGTTTTTTGATAATCAGTTACGAAGGTACTTATTGTGTAGAGATCATCATAACGAGAAAAGGCTTTGCTCCTGAAAAAAACATTTGGGATTTTTCTCAGTTACAAAACATGATATTGATTAGTCTTTGGAACTCCTGTTCAACTGTACAGGTTAACCCCAAAATCTTGAAGGACGAACGCCCTGACGCATATGAGTCGCAGAGCGGTTTGACAGAAGCTAGCACACTAGTATTTATGTTTATTGCGTCTTATACGCTCAAATCAGACTAACAATAGTGTCAGGACATCGATGCATTTCAATTTCCTCATTTTACTTTTATTTTTTGGGAGAGTTTCTAGGAGTTCCGCACCTTTTCATTAATCTTTATGAAAAAACACTTC